ACAAAGCAAAATTCAGAACTATTATGAAATTAAAGTATTTCTTTAACCGTTTAACCGTGACTGAGGTCAATAGAAAAAACAATACGAAATTTATTTTCCATTATAGTAATACGTTTTAAATTATATAATGTGTCTTATTTTTTATGGATCTTAGCCTAACTTGCAATTTGGTGGGAGTACTAATATATATGGCTCCATATAGCTAATGCATCTTTTAAGTTAACAACAGACGGCTGCCACTTAGTACTACAGTCTAATGGTATTCCTCTTCACTTGTAAGTGAGAGGTTAGGTTCGATTCTCGCCAAAGGCGAATTTGAACCACATTATTACTAACACATTGTGAGGCTTACCCCACCATCTTCCCCTTAGTGTAAATAATATTGTTTGTTTAAAAAAAAAGTCAATAGCAGACGACTTCAATTCATTTGACGCACATCATAGCGCAACCCATTTCTACTAGCCTAATTGAGCTTAATTATCCTCCTCTTGTAATTCCACCCACAATAAAAAGTTATATAATTAAAACGCTATTTTCCTATCCACTATTATTTATGAAATTCCCTTCTCATGAGGGCATGATTTTTTTTCTCCCTTAGTCGTCGTTTAGGATTCTAAAGTCTTCTTGTGTTCCTCTTGATGTGAAGAAATTTGAAGTTCCACGAAGTCTGACAATAAGATAGTAAAAAGCATGTAAATTTGTCCCATTCCTTTCATTTTCCCTTGCTTTTCTTCTTATAATCCCTTTGGCATGTACAACGAAACAATCTTATATGAATAAGGTTTACAAGTAAAGAGATTGATTACAATTTACAAACAATAAAATTACAGATACCAAATTCACTGTGCAAGAAAAATTGAAAACAACAAACTGTTCAGAAAAAGTATAATTATCCTTAAAATTGGAAATTTTAATATAACGTCGACAAAGAAGAGTAAGAACATACCACAACAACAATAAAGTATTATCCTACTAAGTGGGGTCTACTATATAAATTTTAGAACGTCATTACACTCGGTTTTGTGTCACATCTTCTGTTAGATCCAAGTAATCCAAATATTTTCTTAAATTCTCTTTGGACTGTTATATTTTAATGGAGCATGGAACAATGAAAGAAAAGTCGGAGGAGTGGGTTTAATTGTGAGGGAAAAAAAGCTGGAAATTTTGTGGCGCCATACTGCAGGAATTTCCATGATGTATTTTCTCCTTTGCAAGCAGATGCGTTGCCTGCACCCAACCTCCCCCGCAAAACACAAACCAAACACCCCCCCCCCCCCCTCCTCTCATCAACCTGCACCCAACCTTAATCCCAAAAAATAAAAAAATGGAATATGAATATTTGAATTTAGGCACATTTGACTTATTATTCACTTTTTTATACGTAAATGATGTGACATATATCTCACTTAAAAGGATCATATCCTTATAACAAAATGATTGTTTTTACACAAGTTTTAGTACGTCTACACCAAATTAACCTAAATTATAGATCATGATTTGAACTTTAGGTGTAGAAGAAGATTATGTTGCTTTAGTTAATTTGGCTAAGTCTAATAAAATGAAGTTAAAGCAGAACTCTTGAGAAAATGATGATTAATTGCATTTCAAATGTTGGGCATTAGAAATACTGAATTTCGTACATAGTACGGCATTACGAAATAACTCACGACGGTGATACTTAACAAACAAGAACACTAAGAACCATAATAGGGATACGAGGTTAACAACCCAACTGTGAAGGCCATTAACTTATTCTAGCTAGTTCCATACTCGTATCAAAGTACCTACGTCCATTCATCCACTGATAATTAAGTGATAAGTGATAGGAGCACATTTATGTGACTTAGTTAGCTTGTTTCTTGGCATTTATGTTGTTAGTTCCTTGTTATTTTATTATTTTAAATAGTTTTCGTGTGTTTATAGGTCCAAATGGCTAAAGTGGCAAGAAAATGTATTTTGGGGCATTTTGGAGCAGTTTTGGGCTTGGAATGGATAGCACATGCATGGAGCAAGGTGGATGGACAAATTTGAAGACCAAAAGAGACTGGGAATGTGCTAAGAAGATGAAGGAATTAAGTCATGAAGGAGGGAAGAATTTGGAGCCATGTGTTCCCTTTCATGTCCCCTTGTTGCATCAAACTTTCTCTTTCACTTTGTGTCATAACTTTCTCTTTACCTTTCACTTTGTGTCATAACTTCCTCTTTCCCTTTCACTTTGTGTCATAACCCTTCCTTGTCCCCTATGCATTTCCTTCTCCTATAAATAAAAGCCTTTGCCACACCATTCAAATGATCCATCCTTCACCACATTTCATCCATCCCCCACCACAATCCACCACCATTCAACACAACCAAAAAACATCCAAACACTCCTTGTCGCAGCCATCAACTCATCCATACACCACCATACACACTTTGAGCCATTCTTCCATATAATACACCATCCAATACACCATCCAAACCTTCACCCAACTCTTGTGTCGCACCAAAGAGAATAAGGAGGACCCTTGGAATGGTTGTTATTCAAGTTTGGATTGCTGGATCATTCTTAGGTGTAATCAATCTTTTGTTTTCAATGTTTAAATTCAATTTTATTTCTTTTGCTGTGAACATGAGTTAGGGGAGACTTTGAAGCCATGATTTTATATGCAATATGAATTGATTAAATCCAGTTATGAATTTGTGAATCGTGAAGGCAATTTGCTTAACTGTTTTATTCAAAACTTATTTTTGTATGTCGATTAAGGGTGCACACTTAGTTTGCATGCATGAATTTGATGCTAGAATATAAGGGAATTTCACATAATCGTTAGGAACTTATATTCACAAGTAGTGAAGGTTTCTAGTCACGATCGCGTTAAGTTAAATTCCTGGCATGAGTATCATGATGTCATAGTTACGAATGCTTTGTCAATGCTTATGATTTTCACAGAACGTAATGATCTTTGATTGTATCTTTATTATGATGTCATGTAGGGAACTTTTGAAGAATGCTTTGGGTTGTCGAATGATGTCATCCAATCCAATAACTAAAGGAAAATCTGAGGGTTAATTAGTGATTGACACGGTTAATATGGGGCATTGTCGTTCATAATTCAACAAAAGAGTAACTGGAAATCGATTCATGTTCATATAAGTTATGTGTGGATAAAGGAAAACCTCTAGCTAAGCCCACAAACCATCTATAAATCCAAATTCGTACCAAAATTTGTCTAGTTTAGTTTCTGTCTTGTTTTAGTTCAAATTCGTCAAAATCAAAACCCCCATTTGCTTTAAGTGTCAATTAGGTTAGAATCTATGTTATTTTGTGTTTTTGAGTGTCTTGAGTCATAATCAAATCAATTTTCGTTCAAAGTCATCTCTAGTGTCTAGTTTGAGTCAATTTGATTGTTTGAAGTTGTTTTAAGTCTTTTAAGATTGTTTGAGTCATATAACCTTAGTTAATTTGACGCACATCACAGCCCAACCCATTTCTACTAGCCTAATTGAGCTTAATTATCCTCCTTTTGTAATTCCACCCACAATAAAAAGTTATATAATTAAAACGCTATTTTCAAACCCACTATTATTTATGAAATTCCCTTCTCATGAGGGCATGAGTTTTTTTCTCCCTTAGTCGTCGTTTAGGATTCTGAAGTCTTCTTGTGTTCCTCTTGATGTGAAGAAATTTGAAGTTCCACGAAGTCTGACAATAACATAGTAAAAGGCATGTAAATTTGTCCCATTCCTTTCATTTTCCCTTGCTTTTCTTCTTATAATCCCTTTGGCACGTACAACGAAACAATCTTATATGAATAAGGTTTACAAGTAAAGAGATTGATTACAATTTACAAACAATAAAATTACAGATACCAAATTCACTGTGCAAGAAAAATTGAAAACAACAAACTGTTCAGAAAAAGTATAATTATCCTTAAAATTGGAAATTTTAATATAACGTCGACAAAGAAGAGTAAGAACCTACCACAACAATAATAAAGTATTATCCTACTAAGTGGGGTCGACTATATAAATTTTAGAACGTCATTACACTCGGTTTTATGTCACATCTTCTGTTAGATCCAAGTAATTCAAATCTTTTCTTAGAGTCTCTTTAGACCATCTCCAAACCTGGGCTAAAAGTCAAATTACCCCCCCCCCCAAACACTCTCCAACCCATGTAAAAAATTTAGGCTAGATGCCAAATGTTATTTCTGGGCCAAATACCTCACAGCTTTCCCCCCGGGCTAAATGTCAAATGTTTATCGGAATTTAAATTTTTTTAGATTAAAATGTTCATAAAATTAATTTACAATAATCTACATATTTTTTTTAAAAAAAAATTGATTTAAGAAAAAAATTAGCCTAAGTTCATTCTTTAATAATTCCAGGCTAAAATTTTAGAGCAGAATGGTTGGAGCAGAAAATATGTTTCTAGGCTAAAAGCCAAATTTTTCGGGGCTAAAAAATTTGGCTTTTAGCCCAAGGGTTGGAGATGATCTTAGACGGTTATATTTTAATGGAGCATGGAACAACGAAAGAAAAGTCGGAGGAGTGGGTTAATTGTGAGGGAAAAAAAGCTGGAAATTTTGTGGCGCCATACTGCAGGAATTTCCATGATGTATTTTCTCCTTTGCAAGCAGATGCGTTGCCTGCGAAAGAAGGTGTGGTTTGGGCCGCGGCCCACCCCCACCTCCCCCGCAAAACACAAACCAAACACCTCCCCCTCCCCTCATCAACCTGCACCCAACCTTAATCCCAAAAAATAAAAAAATGGAATACTTGAATTTAGGCACATTTGACTTATTATTCACTTTTTTATACGTAAATGAAGTGACCTATATCTCACGTAAAAGGATCATATCCTTATAACAAAATGATTGTTTTTACACAAGTTTTAGTACGTCTACACCAAATTAACCTAAATTATAGATCATGATTTGAACTTTAGGTGTAGAGGAAGATTATGTTGCTTTAGTTAATTTGGCTAAGTCTAATAAAATGAAGTTAAAGCATAACTCTTGAGAAAATGATGATTAATTGCATTTCAAACGTAAAGGATCAGGAATACTGAAATTCGTACATAGTACGGCATTACGAAAAACTCACGACGGTGGTACTTAACAAACAAGAACACTAAGAACCATAATAGGGATACGAGGTTAACAACCCAACTGTGAAGGCCATTAACTTATTCTAGCTAGTTCCACACTCGTATCAAAGTACCTACGTCCATTCATCCACTGATAATTAAGTGATAAGTGATCAGCTCATCACTAGCTTAATTAATTAGCTAATTAACAATGTTTAGTGCAAAAGCATCTACGGCGTAAGCCACGACAATTGCCTCCGGGGAAGCCCTCAGTTTGGCAAACAGCAGCACAGTTACTTTTACTCACGCATGTTCCTTTGAAGCGGTTACTCTGAGACTCGCAGGTCCTACCCTCAGCAACCATCGTCCCTTTAAACAATTATTCCAAACAACAAACGGTTAACATGCTTGCTTAAAATCGTAATAATATATATTAGCGACGAAGTTATTAACAAGATCGAGGGAAAAGAAATATTACCGGTGGCTACCAAAAGCAGCAGGAAGACGAAGGCGGTTGGAAATAAACGCATGGAACGCTCCATCTTATATAATTTATATGTATCTAATTATCTATAGTCGTAACCTAGCAGCCCTTATATAGACTGGAGATTGAGAAGATAAGATATGTGCATGTGCTAGCATTATTACTGATGTGATTGGACCATGCCGTTCACAAATAAACGACAATAAAGAAAGGGACCTAGATTGTCTGCTCTCTCATCCCATACCCTTCTCATCTCTTTTATTTCTGTAGTCACGGTTAAACCACGTTAACATTTTATATTGATTTTTTTTATAAAAATAACAAGACAAAAAACAATGGAAATATAAAATGTTGATATAACTTAACTGTAACCATAAATAAGAAAGGATGGGAAGGGGATGTGATGAGGGAGGGCAGACAATCCAAGTCCGACCTATCCTCTCTTATTTTTGTGGTCACGATTAAGACACGTCAACATTTTATATTGATTTTTTTTATAAAAATAATAAAATAAAAAATAATAAAAATATAAAATATTGATGTGATTTAACTGTGACCATAAATAGAAGAGGATGGGAAAATGATAGGATGAGGAAGGGCAGACAAGTCCTAAAGAAAGAGGGAAACAACAGGAGCCATGCATATTTCTGTGCTAAAATGAATGAGTGAGTCAGTCATGTCTCTCTGTCCTTTTTCCCCACATGACGTCAATTAATCCAAGTTTTACAGTGCTGTGAAAAATGCTTCTTTTCTTCGCTGCTCCAATGGGTAGTCATCAGACTCATCACTTAACTTGATCATGAACATGTTATAGCTAGTTAGGCTTAATAGTTTAGGGTTTAGCCATCTCCAAAATCATAACCAGTAAGATTGTTCGAGAATCGAAAAGCTTGAATTTAATTCATTATTTAGTACGAGAGAGAAGGAGACAAGTCTAAAAGTATTCCAATAAACATAGAATTGAAGGTTTTTTTATTTTTTTTTATTTTTAAAAGAGTCAATTAATAGTAATCTCTAAATTAATTACCACGAGCACTACCGGTAGTAGCACAAGGACCAGAAGTTTAGATCCGCCTATCTTGTTGTTACATATCAACTAACGTGATACCAATCTTTACATTCTTATTAAAGTTGGTTTGGTCATTACAAAAAAAATTGAAAATAATCTTTGACCGAAGACCATAATTAAAATAGGTGTGCAAAATTAAAAAAATGAGCCAAACTAGCAACCATTGTCATAAAGTTAATGCAAACCCTAAATTATTTCCATGGTAAAACTTCAGAAACACGTAGAATTGGTACTGAAGCTTTGTGGGAAACCTCTTTTCTAACCTCATCTCTTAGGGTGCGTTTGGTACGCGGGACGGGACGGGACGGAACGGGACGACGAGGCGTTCCGTCCCGCGTTTGGTGCGCCAAAAATGGGTGGAACGGGCTGTTCCACGGGACAGATTTTGGGTGTTTTTGCGTTCCACCTCCCCCCTGGAACGGGTTTGTTCCACGTGTGTGGAACACAATATTTTACCATTTTAAGACAAATATACCCCATGTCTTTTTCAAAAATTACACATTCGTTCCGTCCCGTCCCGTCCCGTCCCGTCCCGTCTGCGTACCAAACGCACCCTTAGAGACGTGGCAGGCCAATGACCTTTGCCTCATTCTTATATAATAAGGTCAAAATAATGTCCTCATTTTGCATCTACAGAGGAGACATTTTTCAATGTGTCAAAAACAAGATTCGGTATACTAAGTTTCATAATACAATTGATTGAATTTTTTTTGTTTTTTTGTTTTTCTTGAGATGTCGAACCAATTGTATTATTTTACTTACTGTAATAAACCGTGATCCTGGTACCGAGAAACTCATCATTTATTGCATTGCAAACGGTAGGGTAATACAAAGACATTGTTCTGAAACATGGAAGTTACATAAAATGAACATGTTCATAAGAGATTACAAAGTAACTCACGCGGTGATAGTTTTACTTAATAAACAAGAACAAAAGAACAATTAATGATAACCCAACTGTGAAAGATTGGGTTATTAATTTATTCTAGTAGCACACAAGCATGGACGCACGTAGGTATCCATGCACGGAATGATAATTAAGCGATTATTTCATCATGTCACACATATATATCATACATGTATGATTAATGATGATCATCTCATCATTAATTAATAGCTAATTAACAATGTTTAGTGCAGAAGCATCTGCGGCGAAAGCCACGACAATGGCCTCCATGGAAGCCCTCAGTCTGGCAAACAGATGCACAGTTGCTTTTACCCAGGCAGGTTCCCTTGTACTTGCGGCTGTGAGACTCACAGGTCCTACCCTCCGCAAGCATTGGTCCCATCATCCCTGCCAATTATGGTTATTAAAAAGTCCGAAATTAATATGTTAACAAGAGGCAATTTAGCTGGAGAAGAATATGTATATGTTTAGGTTACCTGTAGCCACCAAAAGAAGAACAAAGACGAAGGCAGTCGAAAACAAACGCATGGAACGCTCCATCTTTCTATATGAAATATACTATATGAGTTAGATCGATGTGAAGATTAGTGACCTTGCAAGCCCTGTTATATAGAGTTGTTGTGGAGCTGCCAGATCGGTGCTGCTGTGCCGTTCAGAACTATCGAGAAAATTAAAAGTTACTAATTAAAAAAATAATTTACCCTATTTTAAAAAAAAAAAAAAAAAACCAACCTAGAAACCCACCCCATCCACCCCACTCCCACCTCCCCGGCAACCCTCCCACCCCCCACCTCCCCCCCGCAACCACCCCCCCCCAACTCCACCCACCTCCACCGCAAGCAAGCCCCCCACACACCTATGTCTTACCTTCTCCCTCTCTTCCACTCTCTTCACCTCCCCTCCCTTCTCTCTCCCCATACCAACCTGCACCCAACCTTAATCCCAAAAAATAAAAAAATCAAAAATAAAAAAATGGAGGCCGGTGAAGGTAAGAGTCCAAATCAAACCCATATAAAAATCCCCAATTCAAACAATCCCAAATAAAAAATCCAATTCGGTGGAAACCCAACCAAAAAAATAATAAAAAACTGAAAATATAAACCAGATTCAAGAACAATGGGCGCGGACAGCCTGGAGAAGTGGGGCAACAGTTGTTTGGCTGTGAGATTAGGATTATCCTCGTTGTGGGCGGGTCGAATAGGACCAGAGAGGTGAAGGTGGAGAGGTGAGGGATGAGTTGAAATGGGTCGGATCGGGGTGGCGGTGGGGGAGTGGGTTGTGGTTTTGGTTGGGAAGGGAGGGGAACAAACGGAGGGGGAAAAGCGGACAGACGACGAACGAGGATGGATGGGTTGGTGGGTCTCTGGGGAGAGAGAAGGGAGGGGAGGTGAAGAGAGTGGAGGAGAGGGAGAAGGGTCGCGGCGGGGGGGGATTGGGTTTCTTGGTTGGTTTTTTTTTTTTTTTTTTTTTTTTTTTTAAGGGTTAATATTATAATATTTTTAATGTATAAAAAATTATTTTTTTGTCCCGTAGCATAAATTTGGCAGCCACATGGCACAAACGTGTCAGTCATGTTCGCTCTTAACGGATAAAAAATGTAACAGATATATTATATTGAAATAAAAGAGTACATGATGTATGATAGTGAAATTTTTTGAAGATGTTATATGAGATTGTAATAGATCTCAAATTTGAGATAGTAAAATGTAATTTAACTTTTTTTTAACTAACGATATTATCTACAAATGGGGAGGTGGGCTAAGCCTTATAATGAGCTATCAATAATGTGACTCAAATTTGTATTTGGGGAGAATCACAAGTGAATAAGAATACCACTAGACTGTATTACTAAATGATCATATTCTTTATTTTTTAAAAGATCAAGAAAAATTAATTCACATGTTTATTATATTTTTAAAAAATATTAAAATATGTGTTAAAATATTATTGGATCAAAATAAAAAGTAAATATATAAAGTATTAACTAGTGAGTACCTAAATATTATACCGAGGTATTCATTAATTTCCCCCCTGAACTTGTGACTATTGGCCAATTTCCCCCCTCAACTTTAATTTTGGCCAATTTCCCCCCTCAACTCTCATAATTAGTCAATTTCCCCCCTCAACTTTAATTTGGTCAATTTCCCCCCTCAACTCTCATAATTAGTCAATTTGCACCCAATTGTTAATTTTTTTTTTAATTTTCCATCTATTCTTTTTTTTTTTTCAATCTTTCTAATAACCCAACAAAGTACTAAAATTAACATAAACTCACTTGCATAATATAGGGTAAAATGTACAAAACATTAATACATTAGTATGTGAATTGGGTTGATTATAAGAAAAAGTTTATGAATCAGGTTTAAAGCATGAGAAGAAGAAATATAACAAAAAGACATAATAAAAACTCATGATCAGACCTATTTCAATAAAATAGGTTATTCTTAATAAGGAGTAAAAAATTATGAATTGACTAGCCATTTTTGCACTAAAGCTCGATTCTCTGCAATTTACTTGAACTTAGCTTTCACTTTTATAAAGAAAATTGTATTCACATACAAAATGTAACACATCAATCCTTTTCGTTATCAATTTTGTATGGTAAAAATCAAATAAATTACTCCCATAACTGATTTATTATGACTAATAATACTATCTATGATAAATTGTAAAATTCTAAATTTTAATCTATTTGTAATAGGATAAAGATATAGGAAAATGATTAACATACATCTTATTTAGTTTCTTACACACACTTGTTTAATTATGATCAAATTAAAAAATTTATAGTATGGTGCAAATTGACTAATTATGAGAGTTGAGGGGGGAAATTGGCCAAATTAAAGTTGAGGGAGGAAATTGACTAATTATGAGAGTTGAGGGGGGAAATTAGCCAAAATTAAAGTTGAGGGGGGAAATTGGCCAATAGTCACAAGTTCAGGGGGGAAATTGACGAATACCTCTATTATACCTCCTTAACTTATTCATTCCTCTATTCACTATTGAAACGACCCAATAGCTCATGCCACGTCAATGAAATTAACGTTTTACTCAAGTCACTTCACGTAATATAGTAAAGTGCGAAACAAAAGAATATCACAATTGCGAAGAAATAATATGCAACATAATAGAATGGAAAGGTTAAAATGAGATTTTGTATAAAGTCACACTGACATAAATAAAAATAGGTTTTTTAATCAAAATAATTTATGAGATTAACATAATTCATTATTTTGGTCCCTAAAATTTAAAATTGATATAATTGTTCTTAAATTTGTCTATCATGAATTATTTTGTCAATCATAAAAAAAAAAAAATCTTTTAAATAATAACAAATAACTAAAATATGATTAATAATTTTTCACAACGGCTGCCAATATTTTGGCTATACCAAGACATCGTTACAATGGTACATGATTACCAAAAAAAAAAAAGATGCATGCGGTCTAATATCATAATGGATGCATTCTTAATATATTATTAACGTATTATATTTGTTTATTTACTTAAGTTCTAAAGTGTGTCAAACACATGCTCGTTTTATTCCATAAATGCTTAAAACAGTGCAAATATACTCCAAATAGAAAAACTGTCTACTTTTCTTTTGATCTTTTGATACTCATTGTCTTATTAGCATATTATATGTGTTTATTTGTTTAAGTTCCAAAGCGTGTCAAACGCACGCTCGTTTTATCCCATTAATGCTTAAAACAGTGCAAATACATTTCAAATTGAAAAACTATGTACTTTTTAAAACAAATTAAACTTTTGATCATTTGAGTATTCATTCCGAGTGTTGGAAATGTGCCTTAAAACTAATCATATGATAATACTTTACAGACATTTCACATGTTAAACTAATCCAGTTTAATATAAAAGGCAAAGATTATTGTTTAAAGCCATCTCATATCAATGTTATATGCCTAAAACAATAAATCCAATGAATATGTAATTGAGAGAATGTGATCTAAAAAAGTTAGATTCATGAGACCATTCTCTTTCGTATACATATCTTAAACGTTCCTGATCATAGGTTGCCAATTGGGCATTGACAGTTTGTTAAGATTAGTACGTGCTATGTCTTCTCTTAGAGAGAGTGACTGGTCTCGAGTCATTGGTGTGACTGACACCAAGACAAGCATGTAGGTGCTCAATAGAGAATGAGTCCACTGAACACAATAAACAAAGAGTTCTCATACTCATGTCACTTGAAAACTCATGGTTGAGATAATGCAAAGTAGTCATTTGACCTGATGCATCATAGTTGTCTTGTGGTTGGGTCCTTGATCTTTGACTATGTCAAAGTCACCCAGTCAAAGGGTGTCCACGACATAGTTGGGGTTAAGCCATTTAGCGGTGGAGGCAAATGAATGCACAACAAGGGATCTCTAACCTTCAAACAGTTTGAGGAAGAATACTATATGATATGATTAAAAATCTCTGGCCAGAGTATGAATGAGATTTAGGAAGTCGTTCCAAATCACATTCAAGGTAATCATATAAGTAAGAGAAACACATTGGATAGTAGACATGAATAAACTATCAAATCAAATAATGTGGTCAAAATATTGTATTAGAGAAAGACCGTATTGCATTGTAATCCCAAATAAAGCCCTAGTTTGGTACTGAGGTGATTCTGAAAAAAAGTGGCTATCAAAAAAAGCTATGAGCTTTTTATGTTTGGTAAACATTCAGCTTCAATTTTTTTTCACAGTTTTGGGTGAAAAAAAACTAAAAACACAAAGCTGCAAAACCTAGCTTTGAAAAATCAGTTTTTTTTTCACATCTGTTTTACATAAAAGTTTATCAAACACTATAATATTGTTTTTTTTTTTTCAAAAGCACTTTTACAAAAAAGTTTACCAAACACTTTGCGCTTTATTTCACAACTGCTTATTCTCACAGCACAACAGAAAACCGTTTTTTTTCAAAGCACAACAATACCAAACCAACCCTAAATAGGTTCTCCACCTCTTCTGATTGGCTTGGGGTAGCCATGACATACTGCTAGGTGTCACTCATGGTTTGTGGAAGCCCTAAGGGTGTATAATCATTAAATGGAGAATTGAAAGTAAGTTTCAATTCACAATCGATTTAAAGAGTTGTAATCGCCCACTGCCTTGCTAAAAGGAACTTAACGGATCATATACCGTGTAAGGTAGAGATTGAAGAAACAACAGAGATAAGTAAGGATAATTAAATGGTTTAATTATTTATGGCTAGAATTAATTAATATGTTAATTAATCAAATGAATAAGTTTGTTTTAAACCTCGGATTAGTTTTGGGCCTCAAGGCCTAATGGGCTTTGAATGTCAAGTCCAATAACTCAAGTTGTATGATAACTTGAAAACATAAAGGGCATGAAAGCCCCAATTACTAGGCCTTGAATTTCATAAGTAAAATTTTATTTTTGAGTGCATACAAACATGATTCCGTCTTTAATTATTAATTGCATGTATAGATGTTACTCAAATGAACTTATTTTCATAATTTCTTCCTTCACCGAGTTCGAAACCCTTACCTTAAATTATTATATTAATTTTGAACCTTCACAGTGCAAAAATACACTCCTCAATGGTAATTAAATAATAATAATAATAATAAAATTACCAAAGAAATAACGTGAAAAATCGATTCCGTCGGTTCATAGTGTCCAACGTTGAGAAACTTCACAGCAGGAAAAAGGTCACACTTTGAAAAATCTGATCTAGTAAACCCGTAATTTCCCCATATCCACTTCCAAATTCCAATCATTGATATCAATTCCCGCGATCGAAGCAGCCATCGTCAATGTTCAACGACAACAGCATATCAATCTCAGTCTCCGACGACGAAGCGGACGAGCTCGGCCGGATGAGAGTCCGAGTTCGAAGAAAGCGCAAGAAACTCGGCCAGCGACTCAAGCACCGAATCGCTAGAAAGCTCGTCAGGTACTGGGCGCTTCTCATTTTTATTCCGGCCCTCGGGTTGTTTCTGTTCGAGGCTTCCAGGATCGGCAAGAAGCCGAGTTTGGTTGAGTCGGAACGCAATACGGTGAAGAAGCCGAGTTTGGTTGAGTCGGAAGAATACGGTGCGAATTTGGAATCGGCGAATTTGAATCATCACGACTCGGGTTGTTGGAGGCGTTAGACAACGTAAGTTCAATTCTTGCTTAATTTCCATACGTTTGGGATGCAATTGAAAAATGGGTAATCGGAATTTTAGGGTAAACTGTCGGTTTACCCCCTGAACTTTCACCTCACTTTCGATTTCCCCCCTGAACTTTTCTATTGGAAAATTAAGGACTCAAACTAATTTTTTTAGCCAATTTGCCCCCTACCGTTAGTTTTTTATATTCCATCCATATTTCCGTTAAGTGAGACAATGTGCATAACATGTG